GGGGTTCTGACCTGCGGACCGGAGGGCTTCTCGCTGGGTTTGGGGGACTTCAGGACTCCCCCAGACTGCTGATGCTGATTGTGATGGTGGTGCTGGAGTATCTGTCGGGCGACTTGCAGAGCCTGGAAGAGAGACATGAAAGGCGTGAGGAGAGAAAACAATGCAAACAGGAAGAGAGAGCAGATAGTTTATCGCGCATGGGGCCCCAAACCCCCCCCAGGGACGTGGCTGCCTTCAGTGCAACAGATGTAAGCTGAGCGGCAGTGTGCACTTGGCTGTGAGAGATAACAAAACACAGTGTGCCTAACAGACCATTTTCCATCTTCACTTCCTTCAAACAAATTTACATAGTTTCCTCTAGAAGCTCAGAGAACAATAAGGCAAAACAAACAGTGGCGAAGCGAAGGGGGGCCCCGTGCCACCGGCCGCCCCAACTTCATTTTCCCTCTGACACTGCCCCCCTCCCCTCAAAAAGCAAATAAAGAGGTTTACTGCCGCTCCCAAATATCTGTGAAAGTACGCGGCCTTCCCAGCAGAGTGCAAAAACGGAACGCGGTCACATGTTTATCGCCATGACGATTCCCTCTTCCCTTACGATAATCACATGTGCTGTCCAGAACAAACAAAAAGCCACGAAGCTGGGAAGAAGAAAAAAAGAGAAAGAGAAGAGAGAGAGAGAGAGAAAGAAAGAAAGAAAGAGCGAACGGCAGCCATGAAAAGGACACTGATACCAAGCAAAGCAGCCGGCTGTTCCCACAGTGCGGAGCCTCACACCTACACCGGTTCAACATCTGAGTAAATAAGCTCACTCATTCTTTCCGTGTTCCTCCGGCGATCACGCCCACAATTAAACAAACAGTCTGGGGTACATCCAAGCCATTTCTCTGGCGCCCTCTTTGGCCAACACCGAGTGGAACGCCGCCCCCCCCATCGATAAAACGGCAGCGCGGGAGGCGAGCGCGATCGTGTACCGTCACGGAGGGAAAAGGAGTGGAGTGGAGGGAGGCTGAGGAGAAGTTTGGGGAGTCACATGGGAGGAGGCAGCAGGAGAAGGCCGGGAAGCCTCAGCTGAGGCACCTGGAGGAGGAGTGCCCCCTGTGAACGGCGCCCCCTGCAGGCAGCAAAGCTGTGCCCCATATAAGTGCTGAGCAGAGAATCAGAGGGGTTGGGGGATGACATCATGGGGCAGGGATATGAGTACAGGTGATGGTGGGGGGGGGTTGGGGCTCTTAGGGCATCAAACTGCTGCCTTCCTTACTCCTCTTCCTCTTAAAAGCCCATAAGTGAATAC